GTACATAGGGATGCGTTGTGTGAAGTATTATGAAACTGGGGCATAACATTTTATAATGTAATATAGAAGTGGATAAAAGTTTTGTGTTATAACAAATGGCATGTAGACATAGGTATGTCTTTAAATCAATCTTTAATTCATTCTTTAGTTTAATTTAATGAATTTAAGTGATTGCAAAACAGATCAGTTATATAATAATGTGCGAATAACGAGCAAGAATGGAAATGGAAATTATGAGGTGGTTAATATGTGATGAGGAGGTTAGCATATAGTGTTAAGAACAAATGACCGTTATTCTGTTTTGTTTTGATAAGTGCATTTGTAAAAAATTTGTTTGTATGTAGTTTTACTGTGATAATAAAGTTAAAAAAAAAAGAATGCACCCTAAAATGTTGACCTTAATCCAAACCATGTCAATGCTGACTGCTAGCATGATGAATTTTTTTACAGTCTTCTTTCGCTTGAACCTTTCTTTGTTGCCCTAAACATGCTTCAGAAGGTTTCCAAGACTGGAAAAAATCCTTAAGACCAGTGTTCCTATGCTACTTTGTGCTTCATGTTTTTCACAAAGCTGTCCTGTACACCTTCTAGTCTTCATATCCTACTGTCCTTTATCCAAAGACAATAGTGGGCTAGTTTGTCTAGATGTATTCAAGTATGGAGCTTAGCCTTATAGCAGTGGAAATATGGCATTTTTCTCTCCCTTGAAACTCAAACAAGAGAAAATATTGTGCCAGAGAGGTAAAACCTGACTAACCTGACTAATAATTTTAAAGCAAAACCTTCCATATGGTAGGTAGCACAGTATGTATGTAAGTGCATTCCTAATATCCATAGCTTTGTTTTTAAAAAAGTAAATATTAATAAATATTAAAATATGAAATCCTGTTGAAAAAATGCATATAATAATAATAATAATAATAATAATAATAATAATAATAATAATAATAATTTTTGATATCCCGCCCCTCTGAGGTCAATCGGGGCAGCTTACATCATAAAATCATCATACAACAATTAAGAACACTTACCCCCCTCCCCCCTTAAAAAGTTATTAAACCAAATACAAGTTAAAACAGCATACAAAAGAGGTAAATACCCCCATATAAAATCAATACACAAGAAAAAAAAAGTGCTGGCAGCAAGTATAAATACTGGCTCAGAAAAAGGCCTGGTCATAGAAGGGGGGAACATCTCCAAAAAAAATTTATTTTATTTTATTTTTATTTTTTGGAGCCTGAGCCGGTAGATTATTCCGGGAAGGCCTGCATATCTTTTCTTTCTTATGTTAAAGCAGGGTAGGCAACCTAAGGGCCGAGGGACTTCAGCTCCAGAATCCCAGGAACTATTGGCCAACATGGGACTATTGGCCAACATGGCTGAGGCTTCTGGGAGCTGAAGTCCCTTGGCCCTTAAAGGGGAAAGGTTGCCTACCCCTGTGTTAAAGCATTAAACTTTTAAAATAGTTATGAAATACTGTTGGAAAGATTATATGTTTGTATATGAAGTGTTGTTAAATTGTTAGTTGTGGATATCCAACACTTATCGATAATGTATCCTGAGCAAATGCAAAGTAACATTCCACCCAGAACATTATTTCAGTTGACACACCATCAGGAATGGAGCAAGTGACTCATTTTCATTATAACAAGATATTGCCATATGAGTGACTGGAAAACATGAATGTTACCATCTGGGTGCCATGCAACAAGTAAGATGAACTGAGCATTTGCTAAAATAATCAGTTCCCCAAATCCTTAAGACTTCATTTGCTTGATGTTTACCCCACATCTCAGTGCTCAGTGCCAAAGGTATTTCAATTCCATTACTGTTTACAATTCATTTTCACATCAATATTTTGTTTCATTTTCTCTAATGTCAGCAAAACTATTTGGTTCTCTACAGTAATTTTCTCCTGCCATTACAGCTAGATATTGAATCTTACCATTATCAACTTACAGGCATATGAAATATGTGAGCATCTCTCCCCACGGACACCTGCTACTTCTTGATAGATAAGCTTGATAGAACCAATTACTAACTTCTGCAACTTAACAGGGCTTCACATACTGTTTGCATGTGAAAAATGTGGTCATGACAATCCATCTAGAGGAATTTCCTATGAGATATTGAAAAGAATAAAGTCATTTATTAGTTGCTATTCTACAATAGTCTGAAGAACAAGGAAGCAATATATTAATATTCTAGACTTAATAAATGTGTTATAGTTGAATGTTTACATAGTGCTAGGAAAAGTTTCACAGTGCTTCAAAAAGGACTATGCTGGTTGAAGGGATCCAGGTGTTGTGATTTCCCAAGCTTTGTCTGGATATACTTTAAAATTTATATCAATGTAATTTATTGTTGTTGCTGCTGCTGTTGTTGCTGTTGTTGCTGTCCAACCATGGATTAAGAAGACCAGACACAGAAAGCTGTGTTAAACAAGTGCCATTATTTGACCCAAACCTATTTAATTGTGCTGAACCTGGAAAGGAGCAAGAATGGGGGGAACAACCTATCGTAGGATCAGCTGGGATAGGTAGCACCCTTGACTTCCTTCTCAGCCTCCCCCTGAAGGCAATCCAAAAGTTGGGTTGCTCCCTGCCTGGCCAACTACTGGAAGGCAGATTAAAGGAACACACCCATCCCATCCCAGGACTTAAAGTGAGGACAAAGCTGGTAAGTAGTTGCCTTCTCCTCCAGGTCCCAGGACCTAAAGAGACAATTTTAGAACCATCCTCTTCACCAAAAGGCTGTCAATGTGTTCTCCTTACCAGAAACTTTCTCCCCGCTCAACTGCCTCCCCACCCCACAATCTGCCACGGATATGAGACAAGCATCTGTTTAGTCTCTTTTCTGCACCAAGCTGATCAAAAGGGCCTTCACTCCTTGTTGCAAGTCCCCAAGGAACAACATATTGCCATCCTCAGATAAATTCACACTATCCACTCTGTAGCGCTCAGGGTGCTGAAATACTATATTGTTTAGGACATTACAGATTTCCCTTGTGTGCCTCAACATGGGTCCCTCTACCCCACCAAATTTGGCAAGGCAAAATGACATACCACATCTGCATTATCCCTGTTATTTTGTCTGAATAATCCTGAAGAATGAGGGCCTTCCCCTGCAACAAGCCCAAGTCATTCCCATGTAAGTGAATGATCACAACTTGAGATAATGATCACAACATGAGAGCCAAGCTTTTGGCACTCTCTAAACAACAGGGACAGCTTCTTTTTTGAAGCTGCTCCACCATGGCCTGATCACTCAATCCCACCTGACCACCAAAACGACAATTCTGGGCCTGGTGCACTGCCCAGTAAGCCATACTATGGCTGCAGATCAGGCTCTGCCATCTCTCCAGGTAAAGCCTAGAATATGGAAAAGACAACATTAGTCAACAGAACCATACAATTCAAAACTTGATTGATCAGGCATATCACTTGTATGCAAAGGATCTCCAAAACCCAGCATGCTGAATCAATCCAGAATCCAGACCCATGTCAAAAGCCATGGACGCAGCCCCAACACAAAATGAATGGGTCCCAAATTTAACCCTTTGCAGACCCAAGCACTGCAAGACTCTGAAAGTAACGTTCTCAAACTGATGTTTAGTAAAGAGTGAAAAGTCCACATGACAAAATAAATGACCCTGTCTAGGTCCCCTGACCTGAAGGCAATGCTGCAATGCCTGAATAAGATTGGATTGTGACAAATATCCATTTTAGAGGTATGGATCCTCAATTCCACTTGCTGCCAAGAAAAAATTAAATCCACTAGCTCCAATACTCTACTAGATACATACCCTTTAGATAACACAACTAGCTCACTCACCCACAAGGCACCAATAAAGGCAGTCAAAAATGCTGTGTGAAACAAAATGGCCTTATAATCAGAGCTACAAATGACTGACATACCTCTGAACTGCTTAAGGACATTAGGTGATAATTGTTCACATCTGTCTAGAACCCCGCTCTGCTCCCAAGACTATTCTTCAAGTTCCTTGTGAATTTTGAAGTTGCTAATTTTTCCCTGTACATTTGTAACCTGTAAGCAAAGGCTAACACAGACAACATGGCCTGAATGAACAGTGGAGCTAAAACTTTACCCCTCAGGTGTACATAGATCTGCACAATATGGGAGACAGGGAGGCCTAAAGCCCATCTTCCAAATTGTTCACATTCCAAACCAGCTTCCTATAACTTTTCTTGGTACAAGAACTAAAGAGAGATGGATCACCCTGCCAACTCACTCTTCCAAGCCTCCACAGGTCTGCTGACATTGTATACAGCCAGGCCTCTTCATCCAGAGCCAGTTGTCTGAAGCATTCCATCTGTTGGTGGGAGAGAGCCACGTGGAACATCATAAAGACTATGGGCCTCGGCAGATGGCTAATTGAGCCATCTCTGAGGCCAGGAAGAGGAGGAGCAGCCGTACGCGAGGTGCTCCTTCCTCTCCCTGAGGTCGTCCTAGGAGCCGCCGGCCTTCTGCACGGCCAGCGCTCCGGGGGCAACCTCCCGCCGCAGCGACCGGACGCGCTGCGGCGGAAAAGACAGGGAAAGTGCGCCCGACGCTTTTAGGGCGCACTTTCCCTGTCTTGAGGAAGGAGCGCTGATTTAGCGCTCCTTCTAGGGAC